GTCCTTGTGTCGCCAACTGTCAGGTTGTGAGCGCGCTGGCAATTCTCGTATACCCCGAGGAACCGGGCCCAGAGCTGTGCGAACTCTATCGCAACAACAGGGAGTGGTGCATCGAAGCCTTTGAAGCCGTGCTTGAGGTACGAACTTTGGTGGTGGTGGTGGGGGGGGGGTACATGGTGCGTGCGTGGGGGAAGATGGGAAGGGAACATGGTGAACGCACACACTCCCACCCACACATGGGCGCATGTAAACAGTCACGCACCCTCGCACGCACCCTCGCACGCACTCACGCGCGTGTGGTCTCCGATATCCCGTGTAACCGATCAGGATCCGACCAACAAGTGCCAGTGCGAGCTGGCGAGCGCATGCCTGAACCTGTATGGCCCTTGCGTGGAGGACATTGGGTCTCCGCTCCCGCCCGCGTGCAAGGACGGCGTCGAAACAGCAATCACGTGGATGCACCGCAACGGACAGCACCTGGTGCGTGTGTGTGTGTGTGTGTGTGTGTGTGTGTGTGTGTGTGTAGGTGTGTGTGTGTGTGTGTGTTGTGTGTGTGTGTGTGTGTGTGTGTGTGTGTGTGTGTGTGTGTGTGTGTGTGTGTGTTTGTATGAGTGTAGAGCTTTCTCTGTTTGCACTGCACAGCGCTGCATTACCTTGCCTCATCTCTCGCCGCTTGTCCATGTGTACAGATTGACGTGGCTTCGACGTGTGATTCCTCCCTCTTCCTCACCATCTTCTCCGTCCTCGGAGACTATGTGCTGCGCTGCGATCACACAAACACGCTCGGTGCGGTGTACCTGGGACGCATGTGTGTGTGTGTGTTGGTTTGTCTTGTCTTCGTGCTGCATTCATCACGGTTCGTGTCTCACTTCATGACCCCATCGCTGTCATCGGTCCCTGGTGCAGACAATGCGTGTGCGTTTGCCGTGCAATACATCATCAAAGGCGCTGCTGTGCGAGACGACCCCGGTTTCGCCAACGCCCTCTGGTGCATCTTCAACGGCATGCGGCGAGGTGGGGGCACGGCGCACTTGTAGTGTGTGTGTGTGTGTGTGTGTGTGTGTCTGTGTCTGTGTGTGTGTGTGTGTGTGTGTGTGTGTGTGTGTGTGTGTGTGTGTGTGTGTGTGTGTGTGTGTGTGTGTGTCTGTCTGTGTCTACCTGTTGCGGGAAGAAACGTTGGCGGTATCAAGTCAATGTGCACCTGCTGCGCGCTCTGCTCCCACACATGAAATCACGCTCTCGACTCTCATGCACTTCTCTGCGCACTCAGGCAACCCCGTAGGGCAGCACCTGCCCGAAATATTTCGATGCTGCCGACATGTGTTGAGGACGCGGGAGCAATACAGAGCTGAGGCGGCGGGCAACGCTCGTGAGTCGTATCCTTTGTGGCGTGTGTGTGTGTGTGTGTGTGTGTGTGTGTGTGTGTGTGTGTGTAAGAAACGAGCGTTTGCGTTTCTGCATGCGCATGAGCGTGTTTGGGTTGACCATTGAATCAAGCTTGATCACTCGTCGATATCATCCCTTGTATCATCACTCATCTCCTCCACCCACCATCGCCAATCCTCCCCCACTCCTAACGTGCCGCGGCGCAGTGCTTGTCGCCACGCTGTCTGCGCCAGAGGATTTCGCGCTGTTCAACAGCACGTTCGCAGACACCGTTGATGAAATGTGAGTCACACGCTGCCGATGCTCAAGTTGAGAACACGCCAATTGCGGTGGGCGCACAGCATGTTGTTGTCGTTCACATCCTGCATTGTGCTGCGGTGCTTGCAGGTGTGAGGTGGTACCGATGCTGGAACCCATTGAGCTGGACGCCCTGGCGGTCTTCTTGGACACGGCAACAGAGATGGATTCCACCATCCGCACACGCTTGCAGGGCGTCATTCCTCCAGAGTGACGTCATGTGTGTGTATGTGTGTGGGGGGGGGGTGTGAATGAGGCAGCTGCGCGTGTGTGTGTGTGTGTGTGGGTGGGTGGTTGAGTGAGGTAGCTGCGCGTGCTGTGTGTTCATTTCGTTCATGTGACCAAAGCGACTTGATGTGACTTGACATCTTATTGAAACTGCTTGAAGGGCACTAAGCTGGCAATAAACGGGTTTTTGATGTGAGAGACATGAAAATGTGACACAGTCGCAGTGATGGGCATGCTGATTTCCCGATCGCATAACTGTGAAACATAGCAAAACAGACAAGTGTTACGGCCATTGCAGTTCCATGAGTGCTTCAAAAGGGAAGTTCCGCGCAGTGCAGACAACAAGGCGTGCTGCCAAGACGCGAGTCAGCGACTTGGCGCAGGCGGCGAGCGCATGAGTCTCATAATCTCAAGGTCGTTGGATCGAAACCAACAGTCGCTATCATGGAATGAAAGCGTTCCCAAACAGCGCGCCTGACTTTTTTTTTCCCTCAGGGTTCAGGGTTTCAGTGTTGCGTCTTTTCTTCTTGTCCGAGATGCCGACTTCAATCTTCTTGTTGGGGGTTTTGGGGATGAACACAAGGTGTAGGAGACAGGCAGCAAGTCCAGCGGCAACTGCAATCCTCAGACACAGCAATTGTCACGCTGTCACGACACGCCGATGCATGCAGGAAAGCAGGAACACAACATCACACTCAGGTGGGAGTGTCCAGTTCTCTCAGGTTGGGCTGCTGACTGTGAAGTTCATTTCATCCTGTCGCGACCAGCGATTCACAACAACCACTCGTGCACACCACCACCAGCACCATGGCCAGCCACCCTTGGACGCGAGCGGCTAAGATGTCTGCGTCGCTTGCACGGCGCAAGTTCAAGCCCCCAATCGTTCCTTTGGAGAACTGGGACATTGTCAGCGGCGACCTCGTGAGTGCGCCAAGGGATTTGTGTTGGTTCACTTTCACTTTGCTTGTGCGTTTGTTGAGCTTCACATTGCCTCACGGAGCCGCATCCATGTTCATCATCCACTCACGCATGTCACGCATGTCACGCACCTAGGTTGAGGTTGTTGCTGGGATGAAGGACATTGGAAAGCGCGGCCGCGTGAAGGAAGTCATTCGCAAGAAGAACCTCCTTGTCGTGGAGGGCGTGAACATGGTGTGTGCATTATGTGCGTTGTGTGTGTGTGTGTGCGTGTGTACATTATGTGTGTGCGTTGTGCTCTCTCTCTCTCTCTCTGTGATTGGGTTGATTGACAAGTGTCATGCACGCACGCGTGCCCTGATGCTTGCCCTTGTTGCTTGCCCTGATGCGTGCCCTGATGCTTGCCCTTTTTGCCTCCACCACAGCCCTGACTCACCTCTCTCCTTCCCCTTTCACTTTGTGTTGCAGCGGACGCGCCGCATCCCGCCATCGGAGGAAAACCCAGACGGCGGCTTTGCGTCCATGGCCGTGCCCATGCCATACACAAACGTCTCCCTCATCGACCCCACAGACAAGTGCGTCGCAGTCGTGTTGTGTGTACTTGTTGTATGCATGCTCGTGCATCGAGTGCCCTTTGCGTTGCACTCGTGGAGCTCACCTGCTTTTTCATCCCTTCTCCAACCATTCTCCCTCTCAGCAAACCATGCGACGTGGATTACCAAGTCGGCGACGATGGCAAGCGGGTACAGCTTCAGTGCATCGTACTGCCAATCGAGACTGTCCCCCGCTGCCGTGTCTTCTGCATGCCCCCCCCCCACCTAACTCACAACACGCCTTGCTTGCTCGCGGTGCTCTCATTCTCTCTTGTTGCTGTCAGGCGCGCGTATCAACACGGACCAACACTGCGATTCCCAAGCCCGTGTGGAAGAGGCGAGACTTTGCTACCCGCTCAGAATACAACGGTGAGGAGAGCGCATGCGCGCACGTGTGCGAGTGTGTGTTCTTGTGTGTGTGTTTAAGTGTGTGAGCGTGTGCGAGCGTGTGTGTTGAAGTGTGTATGTTCGCGTGTGTGTGTGTGTTGAACATACTCGTTGATACCCATTCTTCACATTACGCTACCTCCTTACCCTTGCTCCCGCACGATGTGCCATCCACTCATCCTCCTCCCCCCTCACGCACACACACGTGCGCGTAGAGTCGCCGCTGGACACGAAGGCGGATGTTGTTGCGGCGGTGACGTACAAGGCGACAGTGCTGTCGTTTGAGGAGGATGTGCTGCGCTCCCTCGGGCAGCTCAACACCGACACCGACACCAACACCAGCACCAGCACGACGGACAGCGATGCGAAGCAGTAGTGCCCAGGGAGGTGGGCGGCTAGGGAACCTCTTGTACCATATGCTTTTGGTGTTGCTGTTGTTGTAGTTGTTGTTGTTGTAGTAGTAGTAGTTGTTGTTGCTGTTGTTGTTGTTGTTGTTGTTGTTGTTGTGCGTGTGGTGTTGATGCTTTCGTGTTTCATTTGTGGTCGAATACAGCTTTTAATACACTTCGCCAGCAAGTGTTCAAAGATGTCAACAAGAGCAGAGGAGAGGAGAGGACAGGCGTAGCCAGCACGCAGCCATAAGCCCAGAATACATCATGACTCAACACACACACACGCACAATACAACACAACAGGCATATGCACACAGGCACACACATACACACGCACTACAACACAACAAGCACAGACAGAAGACATGTTTTACAGGTTTGTGTCGACCTGTTTCCACCAGGGGAGCGTGGCGGCCTTCATGTCCTCCTTGTGGGCGGTGGTCGCAGCAGCAATCACCTGTCAATGATGATGGGATGACATTAGATGACACAACACGCGAAGGCTCGCGATGATGTACTCACCGCAGTGGTGGGTAGTTATCTCTCTCACCCACATGGATACACACACAGACACAGACACACACACACACACATACACATGACTACACGAACGCACGGCGCTATCGATGTTGAGTTCGGTGGTGCTGCCGTTGTGCGCGGCCGCGTCAATTTGCAGCGGTTCATCTGTCACCATGGTGGTGATGGCGGTGAGATGCGCACATGAAGAAGTGTCCGCACCATTCACAGACAGACAGACAGACACACACACACACACACAGACACACAGACACACAGACACATACACAGACACACAGACACACAGACACACACACCTCGCATGACGGCGGCCTGCTGCTGGATGCGGGCGATGATTGTCTTCTGCTGCTGCTCCATCTCTGTCTGTCGCTGTCGTCGGCACGCGTGCACCAGATACCGCGCCTGCCCTTTATCATACACCTCCTTCAACGCCTCAAACCACTCCTCACGCTCACCCACACCACCACCACCACCACCACCACCACCACCACCACCACCATCCCTCCTCGTGGTGGTTGGCCGGACGGGCGCGTGGCGTTCGCGGTATGCAATGATGCGGTTCTGCAGCTCATCGCGTTTGCTGTCGGGGATATGCAGTGACACCACCCGCCCCCGCTGCAGCCCCCGAATCAGCTCGTCGGCCCGCACAACCCTCACGCCCCCTGCACCACCATCGCCACCACCATCGCCATGGCCAACAGCGGATATGCCCATCATGGCGCGGTACTTGCGACGCTGCTGCCAGTGCCGCCGCGCCGCCACCTGCCGCCACCACCTCTGCACAGCACACGCTGCTGCCTCCCTCGCCCTCGCACGGCGCAGTACGTGTGCGTGTGCGCGTGCGTGTCGCCCGCGCCACGTGCGCTGGATGGCGACAGCGGCGGCATTATGGCGGTCACGCAATGCAGTCTCAACCTCAGACCCGCTCAAGCCCCTGCCGTTGGCGGTGGTGGTAATGGTGGTGGTGGAGGGGTTTAGACGATGAGAGGGAGGATGAACATGGGCTCTTGTCTGCAGCATTCACCACACACACACACACACACACAGAAACACAGACACAGACACACACAAACGCACACAGACAGACACACAGACACACAGACACACAGACACAGACACACACACACACAGACACACAGACAGACAGACACACCTGAGGTGGCTGGCCAGGGCCTCGCGTTCCCTCAGCCACGCCGTCCTGTACACATCCGCAGCCATCGCCCTCTCCTCCTGCCGTTGGTAGTGCTGCTGCTGCTTCCGTCGCCGCCGCAGCCGCTTCGCTCGGAAGATGAGCTGCAGCGCACGCACGCCGCGATGCATGCAGGCAATGCGGCGACGCGCAGCCACGCCCCTCCACACCCTTTGGATGCGGACAGCAGCATCCTCCTCCCGCTGCTGCTGGGACGGGTGGTGCGGTCGCAAGTCGCGGTTTCCGCCGTCGCCGCGTGCACGTGCGTGCACCATCTGCACCACGTGTGTAAGGGCGGCCTTGTAAGTGCCAAACTGCTGGAATTGCCTGCAGGCATCGAGGTGCCGCTTCTCCGCCGCCGTCTCCAGCGCCCGCAGGATCGCGCGGTTGTCCCTACCAGAAAGGCAGTGGGCACCAGTGCATTGGGTAAGCGAAAGCAAAGAGTGTAGGCGAAGTGGAGGAATTCAGACAGTTACGCGTGCAGGCAGGGGTAGAGTCACGACCACAAGCCCCCCCCCACCAAGAAGCGTACACACACACACACACACACACACACACACACACACACACACACACACACACACACACACACACACACACACACACACACACACACACACACACGCACACATAGAGCGCGCCCACCTGATTTCCTGCAAGACGTGGCCGTCATGGAGGCAGATGGTGTAGATCACCATCAGCGCCTCCATGCCAGCAACCAACAGCGCAGGCACCACGCGCGCACCACTGTTGCGTCCATTATCATCATCACCACCATCTTCACCACCGTCCCGTCCACCACCACCTCCCTCCCCGACATCACCGCTGGTGTCGTCAGGTGCAAGGCCGAGGGCGCTGGTGAAGCGATACAGGAGCTCGTAGAAGATGGCTGTTGTCGCTTCGCGGGGCAGGAGGCGGCTGGCGTTGTGCTGCTCGTGCAGCCCGACAAGGCGCTTCACAAACCGCAGCGTGACGACAACAACGCCCGTGATGACCGGCATCAGCATCAAGCCGCGCTCCATGTCCGCATCGCTCGTGTCGTGCCGCTGCTCTGGTGCGTGGCGATCAAGCAGGTTGCTGGTGTCCAAAATGAGCATGCGCAGCAGGATCGGGCTGACCCACAGCACCTCAATCACGTGCGGGGTGTGGCTGCACGTGTCAAGGATGCGCTGAAGCAGCAGTTTGAAGCTGGGCACAAGGCGCTCCACCGTCGGCGATGCTGCGTCGGCGTGAACGGCGGCATTGAGCTCATGCACACACGCAGACTGCACCAAATTGGCCACATGCAGCGCAGCCTGATGGTCGGGTGGTTGTGTGTGCGTGTGTGTGTGTGGGTGTGCATGTAAGCAAGTGTGTGTGTGTGTGTGTGGGTGTGCATGTAAGCAAGTGTGTGTGCATGAGTGCGTGTGTGTGTGCGCGCGAACAAAGCGGCACCACCAAAAGGAGACAACATACACCACCATGCGCACACCCTCTTTCCCCTCAACCTCCACCCCAACCACACCTGCGCGACGCGGGTGACAAAAGGCCGGAGGAATCCGGGACCAGAGGAGAGCGAGCACAGGGTCGTGGCAAGCGTGCAGCGTTTGATGAGGGTTTCCGGGTCAAAGTCATCCGTGCTGGAGTTGCCGACGCAGTTGAGCATGATGTCGGGCAAGCCATGCTGCATGAGCCCGTGCAGCTGCTGTTGGTTTGGGCGCGTCGTCACCACGACGTCGTGCAGCATCTCCACCTGAGTGCGGTGGTCCGGATGGATCGCTGCCTGCCTCAACTTCCCCAATGTGGCCTCGTCCACACCATCACCACCATGTTGTTGTCGTCGTTGTCCCTGATGATGGTGGTGGTGATGGTGGTGGCTTTTGTTTGCACGACTGCCTCGACTTGTCATCATCCTCCGTCCGTCGCCACCGCCAAAACGGTCACCATTCGTGAAGAATAGCCGTATCTTCCAACACATTTCAGCAACCACATGTGGCGAGGAGGACAAGCAGCAGACGCAGCATGCCCGAATACATCTCCGTCGAAGGTGCGTGCATCTGTTGTGTTGTTGTTTGTGTGTTGTAGTGTAGTGTGTTGTTGTGTGTGTTGTGTGTGTGTGTTGTGGTAGTGTAGTGTAATGTGTAGTGTAGTGTCATGTTGTGTGAAGAGTACATCTTGCTGCGCTTGTCACTGAGCCTTTTTTGATCGCCTTTTGCGTGTGTCTTGCAGGCCTTCGTGAGGATGGCCGCCGCGCGAATGAGCTGAGGCGAGTGGAGGCCAACGTGGGCATGTTCCCGCACGCAGATGGTTCCGCGTACTTCCAACAGGGTGACACCAAGGTCGTGGCCATTGTCAATGGACCCAAGCAGGTGAGCGTGAGCATTTATGTGTGTATGTGAGCGTATGCGATTGTGTATGTGCGTGTGCATACGTGTGCATGTGTGTGAATGTGTGTGCATGTGTGTGCATGTACATGTGTATGTGCGATTGTGTATGTGTGGTAAGGATTTGGTTGTGCTGATTACAACGCGCTGCATGACCATGTGTAACAAACCAATCAATCACAGGGTGTGGGAAAAGCCGGCGATGCAGGAAAAGTGGTGTGCGACTTTGAGATGGCAGCCTTCAGCACAACACAGAGAAGAAAACCGCTTCGTCTCGACAGGTGCCATACACTGCATGCATGCGTGCCGATGTGGGCTGTGGGTGTGTGCTGGCGTGCGATCAGCGCGCGGGTTGACCCCTCCCTCCCCTTCTTTGCCCAATCTGTTGATGCTGCAGGAAAAATGCGGAGCTTGGGTCAAAGATTGCCAGCACATTCGAGTCCGCCATCATGACAGACCTGTACCCAAGGTGTGTGTGTGTGTGTGTGTGTGTGTGTGTGTGTGTGTGTGTGTGTGTGTGTGTGTGTGTGTGTGTGTGTGTGCGTGTGTGTGTGTGTGTGTGTGTGTGTGCGTATGTGTGTATTTAGCTCTGGCCGTTCTCGCCTCGCGTGGTCTCACTCCTTTTGCTTTGGTTCGCTGCAGATCACAAATTGAGATTTCCGTCCAAGTGTTACAAGCAGATGGCGGTAAGCCATCTCATCTACTTCTGCGTACACATCTTCATGTCTGCCCTTGTATGTGTGTGTGTGTGTGTTTGCCATCCAACGCCTCACGAATGCAATCCTGCGTCGCCGCTGGTGACGCGTCAGGTGTTCTCGCTGTTGCCATCAATGCCGTGACGCTCGCCCTCATGGACGCCGGCGTCGCAATGACCGTACGCTGTGTGCGTGCGTGTGTGTGTGTGTGTGTGTGCGTGCGTGCGTGCGTGCGTGCGTGTGTGTGTGTGTGTGTGTGTGTGTGTGTGTGTGTGTGTGTGTGTGTGTGTGTGTGTGTGTGTGTGTGTGTGTGTGTGTGTGTGTGTGTGTGTGTGTGCGTGTGCAGCTCTTTCAACTCTTCTGCATACCACACGCCCCTGATGTCTCCCTCGTTGCTTACATGATCTCCGCAATTGTCCCCTTGACAGGACTTTGTGTGTGCGTGTACAGCGAGCGTCATCGACGGCACCAACGTCCTCGGTAAAATAGCAGCACCAGAGAGACCTTGAACTCGTGTGCGTGTGTGTGTGTATGCGTGTGCTTGTGTGTGTGTATGCGTGTGCGTGTGTGTGTGTGCGTGTGTGTGTGTGCGTGTGTGTGTGTGCGTGTGCGATCATCACGGAGACTTTGCCCGATGCATCAATTTCCTTTACGCTCACGCATTCACCACCACCACTTCCACCGCTGCTATTACCACCACCTGCCAGACATCAACCACTATGAGGCGTCTGCGCAGGGCCCCGAGCTCACGATTGCCGTCCTGCCGTCGTCATCAACCATCGTCATGGCCGAGGTATAACCGCAGTGCGCTTCCGGTACCGGTACCGTTGATGGGACGTGATGGGATGTGATGTGTGTGTGTGTGTGTGTGTAGTGTGTGCGTGTGTGTGTGCGTGTGTGTGTGTGTGTGTGATATGTGTGTGTGTGTGTGTGTGTGTGTGTGTGTGTGTGTGTGTGTGTGTGTGTGTGTGTGTGTGTGTGTGTGTGTGTGTGTGTGTGTGTGTGTGTGTGTGGG